GACCGCTACACCCCTTGGTTCGTCTCTGTGGGCAAAGCTTGTGGCTAAGCCTCGGGGAGCTCAGAGCAGGATTCTAAGAACACTAAGGGAACTGCCCCTCCCTTGGTCACAGCTCCACACTCTGATGGTGCCAAGATGCTCCCTGTTCTGTCTCGGGCTCTACCTGGAAATCCAGCAGGCGGTCGGGTCGTATAGCCCACTGGGGACAAGCGTGGGTGCTCCTGGCCAGGAGCCGAGGAGTCAGGGGACTGGGGGGCAGGGGGACCAGGGCCAGGACTGCTGAGCCAAGAGCACAGCTGTCTGTGACTCATGTCCCAGGACGCCCAGCACATGGCTCAGCACCTGCTGGGCGCTCCTTGCCCGCACCTGCCGCCTCCCCCTCCCAAGGACTGTCGGGGTGAGGGGGCGGTGTTGGCCGCTGGACAGGCAGCTTGGCCCCAACTGAGCACCCCTCCAAAGAAAGTGACAGATGTGAGCACACCTCCGTCCTGCCCACCCTATCCACAAACCAGATTTCAGACGATGAAAAATGGGGGTAAATGGAGGGTGCATGACTCGCTGCAGGCTGCGTCCCTCGGGGTGCAGGGACAGCTGTGGCCCATGCCAGGGACAACTGGCCCAACGGGTGGGGGCCTGCCCGGCTGGGGGTGCCCAGGGACAGCTGGAAAAGGTGCTGACATAGGCTTATTCCTTGATGACACTGCCCCGCAGCTGCTGAGCGCCATGCCAGCCCATGCTCCGGTGCGCCAGGGCTGCCCGGGGGACTCAGCTTACCCCCTCTCCTCCCTGGCCCTACCTCTCTCCCCCTTGCTTCACCAAGGGGTCTCCCAGAGCTGGTCTGGTGTCCTCAGCCACATCTCTGTCCACTCGCAGTCTCCGTGGTGGCTTTCCATTCAGAAGCCCACAGGCCCTTGTGTGCAGGGAAGGCGGCTTGGAGCAGACCCGGGAGATGGAAGGGTAGATTGTGGCATGGGGGTGGGAGGTGCAGACACAGCAGCTTGAGGTTTGTGTGTTCAGGGGCCCTGCCGGGAGGCTCCCAAAATTCTGTCTGCTGGTCCTTAGGCAGCTCACTATCTCGGCACCAGACACACCTAACTGGAACGGTCTCTTGAGATGCCTAGATGCATCTCTGTAAAGGCGAAGAGGGAAGTAGGGTGTGAATGCCAGCCAGGGAATGGCAACACCTCCAGGTGGTTTCCGAAGTTATACTCAGCTGCTCGGGCCAGAGCTGAGCCTCGCAGCTTCTCCCCAGCAGGGCCCACTCCCTCAGCCCATCTATGTGCCCCTCAGTCAGCGTCCTGGGAAGACCCAGGCCCCAGAGGAAACTCAAGTTGCCCCCTTCTGCTGGCTGCGCCCACCCTGGACCGCCTGGGAGCCGGAGTGGGAGTTGGAACAAGGGCCCTTTCTGCTACCACAATGGGTCCTTGTGCCTCCTCAGGGGACAATGCGGCCCCAGCCAGGGCAAGCGCAGACAAAGGGCTCTTTGTGAGGCCTGTCTCCACCTGAAAAGCAGCCCAGGCTCACACCTGATGGCGAGTGACCTTCCTTCCTCTGGGCTGCCCTTCCTTGAGCCCTGCATGGCCCAGAGCCACACAGGCACCCCACGGGGAACCAGGGAGGCTTGGGGGCAACCTGAGCTGGGAGAGTCACTCTCTCTGGAGTCCCCCCACCAGGCCTGGCTCTGGGAGGGAGAGTGGAGGGGCAGAGGTGCACATGGTGGGCTGCAGGGCACCAGCCCGGGCTAGCTGTCCCTCTGAGCCCCAGGAGCTCTTTGGCCCTTAGAATCCGGGAGGTGGTGGTATCTATTGCCACATCATGGACACTCTAGACCCCAAGGACAAGGGGCAGTCCCTAGTCCCACTGTCAGCTACACAGAGCCCTTACCATCCCTATACTTGAAGGGCCAGGGGAGGGGGGCGAGGATGGGCAGGGTCCAGTAGTCCAGCAGCCATGGGCTGGCCTAGAGGGGGCGATCTGATGCCTGTCTGTCCCTGGCCTCACAGAGCTCACACACAGCTGTGAGGACATCATTCAAAAGCAATTGAAAAAAAAAATGGTTTTAAGCAATTGAGCCCCAAACCACCCACCCACTCTCTCAGCAGCAAGTGGCTTCTGACTGGTGGTGCCCCTGTAGGACAGAGTAAGAACTGCCCAGTGGGATTTCTTTATGGATGCAGATAGCCTCGCCTTTCTCCCACGGGGCAGCCGGTGGGTTCAAACCGCTGACCTTTCAGTTAGCAGCCTGATGTTGAATCCACTGTCCCACCAGAGTACCTCCTAAAGGCCCCATTGCTGGAGAACTACCAGTAGGGATAAAACCGAGAGACTGAAACTCAGCGCTGCTCCCACAAAGCTGGACGATCAAAAGCACTCGCTGTTCCGTGGGAGGAAGAGGAGGCTTTCTGCTCTCATAAGGAGTATGATCTCTTGCAAGTCTGGCTAGACCAGAGGAGGTACACTGGTACAGATAGGAACTGAAAATACAGGGAGTCCAGGGCAGATGTGCCCTATAGGACCAGTGGTGTGAGTGGCAAAACAGGGAGGGTAAAGGGAGAATGGGTAGGAAAGAGGGAACCGATTACATGGAACTGTGTGTGACCTCCTCCCTGGGGGACAGACAACTGAAAAGTGGGTGAAGGGAGACATCGGACAGGGCAAGATATGACAAAATACCCACTTATAAACTATCAAGGGCTCATGAGGGAGGGGGGAGCAGGGAGGGAGGGGAAAAATGAGGACCTAATGTCGGGGGTTTAAGTGGAGAGAAAATGTTTTGAGAATGATGTACAAATGCGCTTTACACAATTGATGTGTGTATGGATTGGGATAACAGTTGTATGAGCCCCTAATAAAATGTTTAAAATAAATAAATAAAAATTTTAAAAGAAAAGTGGGTAAAGGGCGACATAAGATGATGTAAAATATGAAAATAATAATCTATAATTTATCAAGGGTTCATGAGGGAGGGAGGGGAAAATGAGGAGCTGATATCAAGGGCTCAAGTAGAAAGAAAATGCCTTGAAAATGATGATGGCAGCATATGTGCAAATGTGCAGGACACATGGATGAATGCATGGATTGTTTTAAGAGATGTAAGAGCCTCCAATAAAAGTATTTAATTTAAAAAAAAAAGGATTATGGTCTTGGAAACCCACACAGGCAGTTCTATGCTGTCTTTTTTTTTTTTTTTAAAAACTTGCTTTATTTTGTCGTTGTTGAGCATCTACACAGCAAACTATACACCCATCCAACAGTGGCTACGTGTATACTTCAGGGAAGTTGATTACACCCTCCAGCTACCCCCATCTTCCTTTTCTGAGTTGTTCTATCCCCGCCGACCATTCTTAGGTTCATTTTATTTCAATCATTTTCTTGGGGGCTCCTACAACTCTTATCACAATCCATACACAGATCCATTGTGTCAAGCACATTTGTACATAGGTTGACATCATCATTTTCAAAACATTTTCTTTATCCTTGAACCTCTGATAGCAACTCATTTTCTCCCCTCCCCTGCCCTCCTTCCCTCACGAACCCTTGATAATTTATATATTTTTTTCATGTCTTACACTATCTTCGTTCACCCACTTTCTGTTGTCTGTCCCCCTGGGAAGGGGTTATAGGTCAATCTCCCCCCCACCTTTCCCTCACTTTCCTGGTATCGCTCCTCTCATTATTGGTCCTGAAGGTCTTATCTGTCCTGGATTCCCTGTGTTTCCAGCTGTTATCTGTACCAGTGTACATGCTCTCGTCTAGCCGGATTACATGCTGACTCAATGACAGTGAGAAAATTGGGAATAAAATTCGAGGACTAGGGTGCACTTGCCCCAAGCCATAGTATTTTCAGTTGCCTCTTCTGCAGGTGAAAGTTGGACATTCAGTAAGACTGAAGAATTGATGCACTTGAATTATGGTGCAATAATTGAAGACTATCGAAAGGACCGTGGACTGCCCAAAGAACAAACAGATCCATCTCAGAAGTCCAGGCAGAATGCTCCCTAGAGGCAAGGATGGTGAGACTTTGCCCCATGTACTTTGGGTATGTTATTAGGAGGGGCCAGTCCCTGGCATGGAGAGGGACGTCATGCTTGGTAGAGCAGAGGGTCTGTGAAGAAGAGGAAGCCCCTTCACACGGTGGATGGACACAGTGGCTGCAACAGTGAGCTCCACATGACAGTGACGTTGAGGGTGGCACAGGGCAAGTAGTGCTTCCTTCTTTTGTATGTGGGGTCACTATGGGTCGGAACCTGCTCTATGGTACCCAGCACAACAAAGAATAGAAGATGGTAACAAGCAAGCCAGCCAGGATAAATATTGAGGAAGACCTTAAGATATAAGGATCTATTAAAAAAATAAATACAATAAATTTATATATATGTATATATATGGAGCTCTGACGAATAAATAAAGGATTATTTGAGGATTTGCTCCTTCCACCCTACCTCCTTTGAGGGCCATCTCCTGGGCAGTGCCTGGCGGCTCTCATCCTCAAAATGCTGCGGTGCTGGTGGCCTAGGGTCCAGGGGTTGTTCCCTCCCGCTGTCCAGGGGCTCAGGAGGAGCGCCATTGCAACAGGGCAGTGGAGGGCAGGAGAGCAAGGTCCAGGATCTGAGCTAATACAGAGGTGGGTGAGGGGTCCTTTTCCAAAGAGCGTTCCTGACGTCCGGTATCTCAGCTGTCAACAAGCGGAGCCTGAGCTGGGAGGGGACAGCAGGGACCCTCCCCTGTGTTCACTGGTGCAATGAATGAATGAATGGAGGCGTCGCGCTCAAGGACGCCTTTACTCCTGCAGCGCCACGCTCGGCCTGAGGGGGCGCGCGCGCGCTCCTCGTCCAAGGACACACTGGTGAAGGAAAGTGGGCGGGGCCCTTAAAGGGACGCGGGGCTAGCGGGAATGTGGGAGGGACTAGTTAGTTGAGAGGCGGGGCCAAGGGCTGGGCAGGGGCGGGGCATAATGGGCGGGGCCTCGGAGTGCGCGCCAGCGAGTGGGGTCGGCGCGCATGCGTCCTGACGGCCCAACGATGGCGACGCCTGCGGAGTCCCTGAGGAAGCGGAGGCGCGGGGACGCGGATAACGGGCCGGACTCTCCGTCCCCGCCGGCGCGTGAGCCCGCGGGCTGCCTCCGCGCCGGCACCTTCTGGCTGACCAGAGTCGTGCTCCTGAGGGCCCTAGCTTTCGTTTACTGTGAGTGCGCGGCGGCCCCCGCTCAGAGCCCTCCGTACGTGGGGACGCGCGCGCGTCCCGCCCTGGGCCGCGTCGCGCATGCGTCCCTGCCTCTCGAGCACCCCGCACGCACGTGGGTTCTGGGCAGGTGAAGCCACACCTGGAACCCTGGCCTTCCCTGCACTCCCCATTGCCCCGAGCCCCAGACCTTCCAAAGCTGGCGCAGGGCCCTTGTGGTGGCCCCGGGACCCCCTCTCCCTCACTCCTTCGGCACCCCCTGGGGTCAACATACTCCGGGCATGTTTTTTCTGCACTGAGTTCTCCCTGCATAGCTGCATAGCTGGGTGGGTTGGGCAGAAGGTGGTTGGACAAATGTGGGGAGACGCCTCCGTTCCTCAGAACAGGAGCACTCCCTCCATAGAAATGCAGAATTGCCCCCTCCAAATGCACGCACCCCCCTCTCCTGTAAGCACAAACCTTCCTCTGTAAGGGCGATGCATCCTGCCACTGTAAATACGATGGACACACCCTCTCCCCTGTGAGCAAACAGGCCCCCTCCCCTGTATTCCTCCTATAAATATAGACACAGCCCCTGCCTCTGTCAGTAAAGACACCCCTGCCCCTATAACGAGGAGTCCTTCCCCCATGTAATGTAAGGAGACTCATCCCTGTGAGACCAGCAGTGTCCACTCTGCTCCTGCATCTGTGTGCACTGCTGACCAAACCCCAGGCTGCAGCCTCTGCCCCCGTGCCCTCTACCCAAGATTCATGGAGAAAGTCTGCTGTGTACAGAGCCCTGCGGGTCTCCAGAGGCTGTGCTCGGGGCACAGGTTCCCATGAACATTCCCAGCCAGAACTTGTTGCCCTGCAGCCCAGAGCTTAGGCGGGGCAGCATTAGCCCCCGCCCTACACAAACACACACACAGAAGCCAGCAGGGGCATCTGCGCCTCCTGGCAGGGGCTGGAATCCAGAGTTGACACCTGGCTGAACACTGTGCAGGCCTCACTGCCACTTCCAACTCCCCCCTCCCCGCTCTGAGGAGCCCTGGTAGCGCAGCGGGTTAAACAGTGGGCTTCCAGTTGCAAAGGTGGCTGCTCAAATCCACCAGCCTCTCCAAGGGAGAACGGTGAGGCTGTCTGCTCCTGTCAAGATTCACAGTCTGGGAAACCCACAGGAACAGTTCTACCCTGCCCTAAAGGGTCACTGTGGTTTAGAATCAGCCCTACAGGAATGACTTTGATTTTGGACTTGGGAATCTGGAGGGTCCCTGAGTGGAGTCAGTGGCTTGTGCTCAGGCATCATATTCACCGGGAGGTTGGTGGGTTGGATCCACTCAGGCTCCTCAGAATACAAACCTAGCAGCCGGCTTCGTAAAGATCCCACCCTTGAAAACCCTTACGAGAGCAGAAAACCTCATCTTTCAACGAGGGTTCGAACCAATGGCTGGAGCCAACAGCTTTTCTTGGTTTGTTTTTGACACAGGGTCCCACTGTGGGAACTCATTCCGGGCTCTGAGGAAGAAAGACCTGGGTTGGAACCCCTTGGTTAGCAGGCCAAGGTATGACCCGCTAACTGTGCCACCAGGGTCCACTATGGGGACCCTGCAGGGTAAAGTAGAACTACCCCACTGCGTTTCTGAGACTGAGTCTTGATAGGAGCAGACAGCCTCCTCTTTCTCCTGCAGAGCACCTGGTGGGTTCGAACGTTGACCTTGTGCTTAGACTCAATGTGTAACCCATGATGCCACCAGGACTCCTTAACCTGCTCGTATGAACCCCAACTAAACTTTCTGAGCTTCTCAAAGTAACATAGATCAGTGGTTCTCAACCTTCCTAATGCCACTACCCTTTAATACAGTTCCTCATGTTGTGGTGACCCCCAGCCATAAATTTATTTTCGTTACTACTTCATCACTGTAATTTTGCTACTGTTATGAATCAGGCAACCCCTATGAAAAGGTCGATCGACACCTCCCCCCAAAGGGGTCAAGACCCACAGGTTGAGAACCACAGAGCATAGATGGTCAGGTTGGGAGCCCAGATGGTTTGGAGCAAATGAGCAATCACCTTTCTAAAGAGTTCTGGGTCCAGAGGGCCTCAGAAGAAGGACCTCAGAGTCTCACTTCTCCATCCGCTTCCATTCCTCCAACCCGGATGGAAAGGGCAGAGGGCAGTTCTTTGGGAAGGTCTGCCCCACTGCCCCGTCAAAGGCCCCAGGGTATCGCTGTGGGGGCCTCGGTGCAGTCTATCTCCTGCCACCTCCTCATCCACGTGGTGCCCTTGGTCTTGACCACAGGACTTTATGGGAGGAATTGCCAGTGTCAGTCAGGTTTCACCTCAGCTTCTGCCTTGTTCCTTTTCTCTCTTCCCTTGACTTATAACAGAAATAGTTCCCGCCACCATGACTTTATCTGCCGGGGTATTAAGTTGTCACTCTGTGCTCACGGCTGTCACTTAACAGAAGATGGAGTGGTGAGCAAGCTGAGCTCTGAGACGGTAATAGACCTTGGAAAGGGGGGCCTGGAGCAGCATGAAAACCCCAGGGGCTGTGCCCAGGGAGAGCACAGTTTCTAGAAAATGGGCTTCCGGGCTCTGCCGGGCCCTGTCACTGTTCCCGAGCCCTGTCCCGGAGCCAGGCTGCCTCTGGTCTCCCAGAGACTGCTCAGTTCAGAAGGCAGCGGCCATCTTGAGCCAGTAGGTCAAGCAAGTTCTGGAAGCTGCAGGTGGACTGTCTGACTCTCACAAAAGCATCGCCCCTGACCCCTCACACACCCCTTCTTGGGAATAGGTAGACTTGGGGTTAGAATTGGCGCTTGTGTATTTGGTTTTCGGCTGTATTGAGACATCGATCGAGTTCTCAGCCTCCAAGGGATGTAGGTCTCAGGCAGGGCAAGTGGTGGCCATCCTGTGTTGAGCTCCTCTCGAGAGGCCCAGAAGGAGCCCTGGTGGCGCAGTGCTTGAGTGTTCCTCGTTGGTGGGTGATTTGAACCCACTGCCCGTTCCGAGGAAGAACGACATGCGGTTGGAGGCAGTTGGGACTCAGGGACCCCGGAGGCCAGGGGAGACCTGCCCCCACAGGGCTCCTGAGGCTCTCCGCCTTCCTAGAAGCTGACTGCTGCAGCTGCTGCATCTTTCTCCCTCTGAGCGGCCGGTGCTTCCCAGCATCCATCTCTCTGTTCACAGCCAGGTGCTCTAGCCACTGTGCCCCTGGCTCCCGGTGAAGATGCCAGCTGTCTTGGGGGCAGTAGGGGCTGTCCGGCCCTGCGTTGTGCTAGGTGCTGTGAACCAGGCTGGGCTCCCAGGCAGCTTTGTGGGCTTGTTTTTGGCCAAGGGTCTCCCCGTGGGAGCTCATCCCGGGCTCTGTGGAACAAAGACCTGGCGACTTGTGCCCTGCAGGTGACATCCTCGCAAAACCCCGGGGGGCAGGTCTGCTGGGGCACCTGGGGTCACTCGGAGCCGGGGTTGACCCCATGGCACCCCACGACAACAGAAGGGTCTGGACCTCACCAGAAGCACATACAGCCTCCATCCCTGAGAGCCCTAGCATCCCTTAGAACCCCCAAATCCCAGATACCCCCAGAAGCTTAGAACCCCGGAATCCAGACTCCTTCAGAATCCCACACTCCCTCAGAGCCCCAGGATGCCTCAGAGTCCCAGACTCCCTCGGGATTCCTGGATCCCTCAGGATGAGGAGTTGGGCACCAAGAAGACAACCATCAGGTTATCCTGTTGGCACCCTGTCACGGCTCCAATCTAATGTGGGGCGGGGGGCGCTGGTCCTACTCAGGGTGTACATGGGTCGAGTGGCATTTCCCATATGTTCTGGGCATCGCTCTGTCTTTCCTTCTCCACACCCCTGTCTTGGAGAGATTTAGGATCGCCCCCCACAGCCACTTCCTGGAGGGGCCCTCCAGAAGGCATGACTCGGGGGAACCCTGCTGGCCCCGCTTCCTCTGCAAGGGAAGGCTGGAGTGGCAGACCCTGTCTGTACCCTGCTGGTAACACGGCTGCTCCCTGGGGACCAAGGCCAACGCAGATGCTTCAAATCATGCCTTGTACTGTTGTCAGGGTGGTGAGGGTCAGCCCCCTGTCCTCTCCAAGGTTGAGACAGTGTTGTGCCCGCCTACCCGCCCACTGCTTCTCCCTTGTCCGCAGAGTAAACCCAGCATCTGGCCCGACCTGCCCACGGTGCCCGAAGGCTGCCAAAGACACACAGGGCCTTGTGGGTGCCAGCCATCCAGTTGGTCACACTGCCCTGCGAGGGTCCCAGCCTGCCATCTCTACATAAGGGGCCAGGGGCCCAGTGTTTAAAGCCCTCGCTGCCCACCAAAAGGTGGGGCAACTCAAACCTCTGGGGAGAAAGATGAGGCTGCTTGCCTCCTGGAGACTTGGAACATGTCATGCCCCCACCCCACCACCCCACCAACAGTCTGCCCTGCCCTATACGCTGAGGCCAAATCAAGCTGACGGCAGTGTTTGGTTTTGACGGGAGCAGACACCAGGCCTTTGCCCATGGGTTCCAGCCATCAGCCTAACCAGCTGCTGCTGCTGCTGCTGCTGCTGCTGCTGTTAGGTGGTGTCAGGTCACTCCCGAGCCATAGTGACCTGGTGTACAACAGAAAGAAGCATCTTCCACTCCTGTGCCATCCTCACAGTCAGGTCTGCTACCCCTCTAGAACCAGCCATTTCCTCAAAGACCCCCAGAGCCAAGCCTACTCACTGTCCTGGGCTGCCACTGCTCCGAGGCTTACGGGTTGCTTACGCGCGCGCATGCGCGCGCGCGCGCGCGCACACACACACACACACACACACACTGTGTCTCTGCCCTAAGCATACATGACATCACATGTCTCTGGGAGTGTCTCTGGCTCCATGCTGTTGTTCCAGTGTCCCCTTCTTGGTCACTTGTCCTTTTCCTTCAGCAGGGAAAAATCCACCCCCATTTACATACCTGTCCCTTCCTGCACCGTGTACACACAAAGCTAGTCTAGAATTGCTAACCCAGACCACCCTGTGAGGGGCAAAAAGCCTGAGGGTGTATAGTCACCCAGGCCCTTGACAATGAGCTCACATCCCAAGAGCCAGGGTTTGGACCTCAGCCTCCCCTGGCTCGTCCTGAGGGGTCCCCAGCTCAACAAGAAAGTGCCGTCTAGCCCAAGGGCCTCTGAGCCCACTCACCCTGTTGCTTCTCTGCCCCCACAGGTGTGGCATTCCTGGTGGCTTTTCAGCAGAACAAGCAGCTGATTGGGGACCGGGGGCTGCTTCCCTGCAGACTGTACCTGCAGAGAGTCCAGCAGCACTTCAAGGGCCGGCTCGGCTGGGACGCGCTGAGTACCACGCCCACCCTCCTCTGGTTCATGGACTGGTCGCACATGGACACCAATCTGGACCTCCTGGCCTTGGCCGGCTTGGGCCTCTCATCCTTCATCCTGGTGGCCGGCTGTGCCAACATGGTCCTCATGGCCACCCTCTGGGCCCTCTACTTATCCCTGGTCAACGTGGGACAGATCTGGTAAGCTGGGACAGGCCTGGGAGTATGACCCTGTGACCCTTCAGGTTAACTTAGAAGAGGGCGCTCATTTGAGTCAGGCCATGCTAAGGCCCCTGGGATGCAGTTGGTGCCTGAAAGGCTGGAGGGTCGAGTTCCCCCAGAGGTGCTGCAAAAGGCCTAGCACCCTGCTTCGCAGGACCAGCTCTGCTCAGGGCCGTGTGGGTTGGAACGCAGCGATGGCGGCTGGTCCGTCGTGTTTCAAAGGCGGCGAGGTGCATGCAAAGAGCGCTGCTGGTGCCGTGGGTGATGCATGAGGGTGTCGCCCACAGGCCGGCCATTGAAACCACCAGCCCTTCCTCGGGAGAAAGACGAGGCTTGTGCTCCAGGAAGAGTTACCTTCTCGGAAAGGGGGTTGCTGTGAGTCAGCATCCACTCCAAGGCAGTGAGTTCTGGGGCACATTCAAGTGGTGCAGTGGTTAAAGCGCATGGCTGATGACCATCTGCTGGTTCAAACCCAGCAGATGCTCCTGGAGAGGAAGATGAGGCCCTCTGCTGCTCCCCTAAAGGGTTACAGCCCTGGAAACCACCTGGGGCAGCTCTCCTCGGTCCTACAGGCTCTGCCCAGCAAGGAAGGGCAACCCACGCACCTCAAGCTCCCACAGGCTCAGCCCCAGCTACTGCAGGAAAGGCAGCCGCACACAGTGTGCACACTCTGACTGTCCGTCAGCCATGGGGTAGGCATTGGATGGCTACCTGCAAGGTGAGCAGTTCAACCCACCAACTGGGCTGAGGCCGGGCTCCAATCAGACGTGTCCCCTCGGAAACCCCGCCTGCGTCACCGTGAGGGGGGTCAGCCGAGAGCAGTGCGTTTGCGCTGCTCTGTTAGTGTGCAGAGCCTGATGAGAATGTGTGAAGTCCTCCCTCCACTGACTCGCAGTGGCCCTGCGGACTGCGCAGCACTGCCCTGTGGGTGACTGAGGTGGTGACTCTACAGGAGCAGACAGCCTCGCCTTCCCCCTCCGGGCAGCTGGTGGGTCCTGACTGCTGACCTGGCTGTCCGCTGTGCCTCCAGAGCTCCATTCAGGCATTGCAAGGATGACCGAAACGGGAGACAGGGACACCAAGTGCACACCTGCAGTTGGGAAAGGGTGCTGAGAGGCCTTCCCACCACAGGGCCCCTGGGTTTTCATCTGTAAGGACTCGGAATCTCTGTAGAGTGCTGGACAGAAGGGCAAGGTAGTGGCTTCTCAGCTAGATGTGCTCAGTCCTCTGCCCCCCCCCACATGCCCCTCAGCCATGCCCCTTCACACCCCTCAGCCACGCCCCTTCACAACCATCAGGCACACCCCTCAGCCACACCTCTCTCCATGCCCCTCAGACACGCCCTTCCATCTGTTAGGTGGGCCCACTTTCCCATCCAGGGCATAGACTTGGTGGATTTGAAGAGAAGACCAGTGGGACTTCTGTATCCCAGGCCCCCATTTGGCTCCGTGAAGTCATAAGAGTGTCTGATTGTGAAGTCCAGGCCAGCAGGCCTAAGCGTCCCTTCCTGGACACCAGCCCACCAACCCCCACGGGCTCTTGATCCCGTTCTTATTGGTGGAGGGCTGTTACGGAAAAGTGTTAACACTACAGACTCACTGCCTGCGAGTCAGGGCTGACTCGGGGACCCTACAGGACTAGGGAGAACCGCCCCTGCCTGGTTTTCCGAGGCTGTAGCTTTATGGGAGTGGGAACCTCATCAGTCTCCCCCGGAGAAGCTAGAGGTTTCAAATTGCTGGCCTGGGTGAGCAGCCCAGCGCCTGACCGCTGCCCCAGCAGGGCTTCTGCTCCCTAAGTGCGGGCTGCGTCAGGGCGACCAAGCATCAGTCCAAACACACCACACAAGCCCAGGCCCGTTGTTGCCGGGGTGATGCCGAGCAGGGGAGCTGCAGGTTAGAGCTACTCTAAGGGCTCTGTCAGCTGTCCCCATCATGGAAGCAAGTGGCCAGCTTCTTCTGTGGTGCCACCGTCAGGGCCCAGCCCCCAGCCTCCAGGCCAGAGCTGCCCCTGCTGCATCTGGCCAGACTCATAGTGGCCCAGGGTACAGAACGAGACCACTGCCCCACAGGTTTTCCACCAGAGGCAGACGGCCCTGGCTCTCTCCTCGAGAGCAGCTGGTGGGCTCGACCCACCAACCTTTTGGTTTACAGCCATGCGCTCCATCCGCTGCACCACCAGGGTGAGCCATGGCAGCCAAGCCAAGGCTTGGCTTGAGTGGTTTATATTTCTACCCCTTCCCAGTACCATTCTGATTGGCTGGTTACGGGGGTCCTGGACCAGGCTGCTGGGGCTGGGGCCTTGAACGTGTCGGTTTGCCCAGCTCCTGGGCTCAGGGGCTCTGCAGACACTGGGCTCCTCCTTCCCTGCCTCAGTCTGGGCAACTCAGTCTCCCTCCCCGGGCACCAGCTCTGCCCTGAGCAGGCCCTGTCCATGGTGTGAGGGGCTTAGTTCTGTCCTGAGCAGGCACTGCCCCCGGGTGGGAGCGTTACTGGGTCAGACATTCCCTGGGAAGTCAGACTGAACTGCCCCCATGTCCTCCCCCTGTTTTCCAGGTACGCCTTTGGTAAGTGAGCTTACTCCAGTGGGGAAGACCATGTAAGAATGGCCCTGTGGGGCCGGGGTACGTATCTGCTCACATCTGTGTGCCTCAGCTAGGAGGGCGGTCATAAAATATGGCTACTCGAGGTCTGGACACCCTGGTGACACAGTGGGTTAAGTGCTGGGTAGCTGAGAGTCAGTGGTTAGAACCTTCTAGCCACTCTGGGAGAGAAAGCTGGCCCCTGCGACCAGACAGACTGACCGCCTGGGGACTACAGAGCTGTCCTCAGCCCTGCACAGTCTCTGTGAGCTGAGCCAGGTAGGCTCCGCGCAAGTGGGTGTGGGCGAGGGTCCCATTCATACACCCACCAGCTGCTTCTCACGACGCGTGTGCACTCACCTCTGTGGTCTGCGGTGGCTGCAGACAAGCTCTCTCAGTGATGCACACACCCCAGCCTCGTGAGGCTGCCTTCCCAAGACAGATTCCAGGAGCTGGGCAAACCCACCCTGGCCCCCAGCCCCCCATGACCAGCCAGTGGGAACAGTGCTTCCCAGGGGATCTGCTGTTGCACCAATTCAATTCAAGGCAGAGCAGTCCACTCAGAAGGTGGAGGGATTGCTCGGGGAGCGGGTTCATAAGGGGCAGCTTTGACAGATTTTCTCAAAGGACACTGGATGGCTGTGGGGGCTCGTGCCAGAGAAGGAAGCTGAAACCTCCCCTGTGAGGACAAGGCCAGGAAAATTGCACCAGGGACTTTAAAACCGTTTTATTGCGTGTACGTCACATCCGTACATATGAGGGGGTACTCCCCCAAAAAACAACCAGAATTTTTTCCCAAAGCTATTCATTTAAATTTTTTTACAAAACAACCTTCAAAGTACTCTCTATTACACTTCATACATTTGTCAAGTCTGCAAATCCATTCTTGGAAACGTTTTTCAAACTCATCTGTTTGGATGGCTGAGAGCACCTCCCTCATTTTTTTCTTCACCTCTTCTGCCCTTTCATGTCCCTCTTCATCTGAGAAAACAAAAAGAAGTTGCACAGAATGAGGTGAGGTGAGTAAGGTGCGTGGAGGCATGCTGTGTTTTTTGCCAAAAACTGGCCCACTGAGATGGATGCGTGAGTAGGTGCATTGTTGTGGTGGCCATCAGTCCCCCATCTGCCACAAATTAGGCCCTTTTTAAAAAAATCTCATACTGTTCTGCGATCTTTTTAGAAGCTCTAAATAGAAAACTTGATTAGCAGTCTGACCTGGTAGAACGAACTCCAAATGCACGATCCCCCTCATATCAAAAAGAACAAATGAGCATGATCTTGGTTTATTTCACTTGAGCTTTTGGGGGGCGAGGTGACAATGGTGTCTTCCACTGACTTGATTGATGTTTGGTTTCGGGGTTGTAAGAATAGTACCATGTCTCATCATCAATAATGACTTTGGGAAAAAACTCTGGGTGACTTCAAGAGCTGTTCTATCGAAACACGGCTTGTTTCCACTCAATGCGCTTTTTCCTGGTCAGTCAGAACCCAGGGCACAAATTTCGCAGCGACCCTTCTCATTCCCAAATCTTCTATTAAAATTCGCTGAACCAAGCTCCAAGATAGTCCAAATAACTTCCCTATCTCTTCAGTGGTCCGTCTTTGTTGATCTTCGAGCACAAGTGCATGAATTTTGTCAACATTTGTCCCATTTGGGGAAGTTGATGGACATCCAGAACAAGCTTATGTATCCTGGAAGATGTACAACCAGACTGCTCCTTAGGGGCAGGAATGGTGAGAGTTGGTCCTTACATACTTGTGACATGTCATTGGAGAGACCAGTCCCTGGAGAAGGCCATCGTTCTTGGTAATGTGGCGGAGCAGTGAGAGAGAGGGATGGGCTCCTACCGGGGAACAATTGTGAATGGGGTGCAAGACCAGGCAGTGTTTCCTTCTGTTGTGCATGAAGCCGCTGTGGTTGGAGCCGATGCAACGGCCCCTCCCAAGCATAGTTCACGGACCGTACAGTTCAGTAGTTCAGTCATTGCACCCCGAAAAGGCCCCTGCTCATTCTTTGAGATTGTCCTGGATAGCCTTACCCCATGCACCCCGAAGCTGTGACCTTCCCCCCCGGGACTCCTTTGTGTCACCAACACTCCAAGAACATCGGAGCGGGGCTTGGTCTGCATCCCCGAGGACACCGTTTGTCTGTCCTGTCTATTGGCTTATGGCAATCCAGGGCAGGGCGGCATGGGTCTCGAAGGAGGATCAGCCAGAAACAGTTGCTTCCTGCTGTGACTGGGATGCGGGCCCCCAAAGGCTGCTGAGATTGTCCAGCAGTGCGCTTCCACTCAACCCGCTTTTCCTCACTCCCCGCTGCTTGAGCCTGTGCCTCCCACTGCGGGGAATGGCCACGGACGGTGTTCCCGTGGGAGTCGACCATTCATCCAGGCCCCAACCCTGATCCGAGGCCGGGTTTACAGGTCTGCCTCCTGCCTGCAGAGCCGTTCTCCATCTTCCTGGGAGAGGTGGGGCAGGGGCTGGAGCTCAGCCCCCATGCCAAGTGCACCCACAGAAGGTGTTGCTCATGCCACCACTACCACCCTCCAGTCGTCCGTTCATGCTGAGAAAGGGTCCCCATGGACACCCAGGCCACATGCAGACCTCCATGTCGAGAGGGCAGTCATTCAGCAAGGAGCCCTGATGCCACTGCGAGGTAGGCCCTGGGCTGCTCACCTAAAGATCATCGGTTCAAACCCACCAGCTGCTCTGAGAGAACTTGCAGGAGACCCGCAGAGGGAACAGAGGAGGCACTGCTGTGTCAGACCCAGTGAGGACAGCCACTAGGCCATGTGGAGATCTGGACCTGCTCAGAGGATGGACGTGCATCAGAACTTTTTACACGTGGGCCAGATGTTTAATCAAGAAAACCTCACTCCTCCGTGCTGCTGACACCCACCCCCACCACCCACCCCTGAGAGCGTCTGTCTCGGCCAACGTAACTTGTTTCTCAATCCAGGAAGGGAGCCTCCCACCGGGCAGCTAGTGCTGTTTCACATCCCTCACTCGTGACAGTTTCCAGGAAGCGAACGATAGGGTTGTCTCAGCTGCCAGTCTCCTAGTCCAATGGCAAGTCTGGAAAGGAGGAGCCAGTGGGTTAGGTAACTGTTACAGGTATTTGGGATCTGATGTGAGAAAGAACAGCTTGTCACCCTCCACGCCCCCAGGAAATGCAGATAGTTGAATGATCAACTGCTGGCTGAGGGGTTGGCATTTCTGACCCACAGCGGGAGAGATGCCTGGCGGTCGGCTTTGACAAGGGCACAGCCTGGACAGCCTGAGGGTCAGCCCTGCTAGCCAGCATCAGAACCAACTTGATGGCCACAGGGTGGGGGGGGGTCCAGGTGGCTCAGCCCCCACTCACCCACCAGCACACCAGCAGGACAAACTCCGTGCGCCAGGGTTGGCTCAGCAACAAGGATCTGGTTCGGGAACATCCGCAGATCACGCCCATGGGGTTTGAATAAGAGGCGGTGAGGGCTAGCTGTGTCCAAGCCAGTTCCGACTCACGGCGACCCCACGGGTGTCCAGCTTCTCCTCAAAGAGACCTGTGTTCTCCAGCCTCCCACAAACAAAGCCTCCTTTCTGCTCCATCTCACTTGGTTTGTGTATCTGGAATTGCAACAGTATCATTTCCCCTAGGCACCATCGCAGTCAGACCTTTACACCCCAACTCCTCCACTCTGTTGTTGTTGGGGGCCTGCCGTCCAGTCCACGCTGACTCACAGTGACCCCGTGTGACAGGGCTGAGCTGCCCCTAGAACATGACCCAGGCTCTCATCCCTACCGGCGCGGATCACCACGTCTTTCTCCCATGGAGTGGCTCGAGGTTCAAGAGCCTTCTGTCGGCTTGTAGTCCATGACAAGGCATTTGTACCTCCCAAGGACCTTCTTGTGAGCCCACGGCCAGGGTTGCAGTCTGCCAGGTCTTCCTGAACACCTAAAAACAATGTGTCTCCCAAAAGTTCCCACCAAACCTATTGCATGCCTTACAGTGCAGCACAGCGTCACAGTGTATCACACAGCCGCAGTGGGTCTTGGCGTCACACAGGTTACAGTATATTGTGCTATTATAATTCATCGCACTCATACAATGTGCTGTGGCATCACCCTCCAGGGGCAGATACTTAATGGTGGGAGCTAGAAGTAGCGGCAGAAGGTGCTGTTGAGGAACCCAGAGTCACAGCGTTCCCGGGTGCCATTGTGGAAGCTGGCACCTTGCCGGGAGCAGATTGTAGGTCTTTTTTCCCCTGGAGCCACGGGGTGGGCTTGAACCACTGAACTTTTGGTCAAACAGCCAAGCACTTAGTCACTGTGTCTCTGGGGAGAGTTTGGGGGGTGGAGGGAGGCAGGAAGCCTCGGTGGACTTGGGTCTCCGTGACCTGATGCTGCTGGCCTCTTCTTGGGGTCCCCTGCTCCCACTGGCAGAAGACATACTGCTGAGTCAGGTGAGTGTGGGCGGGTGGGGCTGGGTTGTCCAGGAGGCAGGACAGCCGCCGCCTTTGTTGTGGCCCAGCTTCCTGAGTCCCGGATGCATCCTTCACGGTGGAGGCTTTGAAGGCTGCTGACTCCACATGGCTGCATGTGGCCGAAAGCACTACAAAGCCTCAGCCCCAGCGGGCCCAGCAGCTCCTGGCTGACCGCTTCCTGCCCCGGTGGGACTGTGCGTGGACACCTGGTGGGCCGGCAGGAGCCCATGGACAGGACTCAGCCCTGGCAAGCCAAGCAACCTGCCTGCCTCCCCCCCGCCACCCCTCCTCCCTGTGCGAGTGCATAAGCCTGGTTTCGAAAAGCCGGTGCTGGGTGGGGGGAGCTCCAAAGTTGAATACTAAGGATTTCTGGCCTCTGCTCTCCCTCACCACACCCCTGCACGTTTGTGGTCGGCCAGCACATCAGGTGGACGGTGGGCTGGGTCCTGGGGGCAGGTTGCTGCACGCCTGGGAGGCTTAGGAGCTGGGATCATGCCCCCGGGGCCCCAATATGGGCAATGCCCCCCAGGCCCACTGCCTGGCTGCACTTCGCTGCCCTCTGCTGGCTCCTCCTGCAAGACTGGCCATGGGTATGAGATGGCCTGAGGCTGCAGGCCCCAGGGCACTGGCTTTCTCTGTTGGACTTGGCTGTGCAGATGAGGTGGCCTCCTGGGGCCACCATGGCAGGGGCCAGAGGAGGATTCTGGTGAGCAAGATTTGGAGAGAGTCTGGGGATGGGAGACCAAACTCGGCACAGGGCTCCCCAAAGGCTCAAGGGGGGCCCTGGCTGGTCCCTTCTGGCTGTGGGTAGCCCCAGCATCATCCTTGGCTTGGGACTGCAGTGCCCCTGATCGAGACTCTATCCCCTTTTGTAAACACCACTCAAGAGGTGGAAACAGGATCTGGAGTCCTGAGTTAGGGCAGCAGCCTGGAGGCCAGTGAGGCTTCTGGGCCCATCAGGGTCTCTCCCTGCCTTCCGGTGGGCCTGGCACCTCCTGGCCGCTATGCCCCAGGGAGGCTCACCTTTGCCCACAGGAGGGGCTGTGTGGCAGTGGCCCAGAGCAGCACCTGTGGGTCTCATGCAGCCTGTCCATCTGTGGTCCCCCGTGCCCCAGGTCAGGGTCCCACACGTCTTCGATGAACATAAGGAGCCCTGATGGGGCTGTGGGGAAGGCATTGGGCTACTAACCACAAGCTTGGTAGTTCAAACCCACCCGCAGCTCCATGGGAGAAAGAGGAGGTTGTCTCCTCGTATAGCGTTGCCACCTTGGAGGCTCCAGGGGCAGTTCTCCTGGGAGTCCTCCTGCAGGGTCCTCCTGGGGGGTTGGAAGCGACTCAGTGGCAGTGTGTTGTGGTTTAGCTCCTGTCTCCTGCTAATGTTCGGGAAGCTTCTAAAGGAGTTTCTAAAGTTTCTCCCGTGCTCAAGCTGGGTTCAGCTTCTAGGAAAAAGTTGTCTGCTTGAAAACACTTGTCCAGCGTAAGGTCACTTCAACTAGACCCGAATAAGTGACCACCAGTCAGCAATAAGCAAGCCCTCTGCCTCGCCTCAGGTGTTCACGTGCTCAAGGCCTTCTGGGTGGCCAGTCCTCTGAGTTACATGAGAGCAGAAACTTCTAGAAAGAAGGTGGGTGGGTGCCCAGGCCCCTGGGATCCCACTGAAGCAGACCAGCCATGGGCAGCTCTGTGTGCAGGTACCAGCCAGCTCTTCTCTCAGGTACTGAATGGTACCACGTGCCCCTGGCATGTGTGTCTAGCCCTGGAAACGCATTAACTCCAAGGTCCCATGCCACTGAGTCTGGTCTCCACTGACAGGAAGGGTCTGTATCTCATTGAAACCAGCAGGACCTGCTTCCGGCCAGTGACACCTGGACTATGGAAGTCTGGTTGTCCTGGCAAGTGAGCAGGCTGACAGGTCATGGGGTCACCAGGTCATTCCCTGGCTCTCGGCTCCCGCTGGCCATTCCTTGTCTCAGGCCAGTCCTGCAAGCTGCACATGGACAGCCTTTTGAAGAGGGAGCCACAGGAAAGGAGGCTGCCTACGAACAGTCCTGGCTCGGGGTGCACTACAGAAGGCAGCCTGCAGATTTGGGGACCCCTGGAGACACTAAGGGGAGCCAATGTTTCCGGGTGTGCCTGGTGGGGGTTGGAATTAAGGAGCCTGGTGCTGGGGGTCATGTTTCTAAGGGAGCGGCTCCCTTTGTCCCATCATCGCCCCAGGTGTGCACAGGGATGTCTCCCTGAGGGCAGGGCAGCACCTGAGCCTTGAGTCGCAGCCACAGCCGCCTGCATCTTGATCCCTGAGGTCACAAAGCCTTCCCTCCCCAGCATCACCTGCCAGCAGTGCTGGAGGGGAGACAGACGGGTGATGGGGATAGGGCTCAGAGACAGGAAAGAAGGGGGGGGGCGAGGACCCCTGGGGGGGAGTGGGCAGGGCAGTTTGATGTGTGGGGCTGCAGTGGGCGTCAGGAAACGTGTGTGGGAGGTGGATGGACCCCAGCTGTATGTGATGCGCAGAGGAGGCCTGTGTGGCTGGGTCGACCCACTTCTGCAGAGTGGTGGGACGTGGACAGTGGCACAGCCTGTGTCTAGGGTACCTGTTGGTGGGCCTGGACTGAGGTATGCTCCCGGAGCCAATCTGCTTCAGCTCCACCCCCTGTCCCTCTCCCTGCTCACCTGGCACGCCGTCTCACAGTGTCCTCGGCTGGTCCAGACAGCTCTTTATAGCAGGACTATGAGTGGCCCAGGTGTGGCCTCAGCTCAGCAGGGCTGTACTGTGGGTGATGGTGCCCAGATGGGGCAGGGTGGCTCCACCTCCCCTCCACTGCTGCCCCATCCCTCCTGTCTCACTCCACAGCCCAGGGGCACCCCTGGGACTCACAGGCTGCAAAATGGCTGGATGTGAGGGGGTCACCAGAGTTATGCCATCCATCTCCATTTGCAGCCACTTTGGAGAGAGCTCAGAAGTGGCCAGAAGTGTGGATGTCTGGTGGAGCTAGCCTCAGTGCCCATCTCTGGCTCCTGCACCCCATGTGACTGTACCTCGTGCCTTTGAGGGTGTAAGTTTCCCAAGCAAGCGTGCGTACCTGCGTATGTGCCTGCGTGCATAGCAGTCTCGGCGCCCTGAGTAGAGTGACAGCCATCAGCTGACACATAGGGAGCCCATTAGCCTTGTGGTGGTGGAGGGAGCGGGGATGCTGTGTCCCCCGAGTCCCTGTCACTCAGCTCACACATAGATGGCGACACCGCCCCAGGTCCCACTGCGCTAAACGGCCCCAGGGAGCACTTGCAGGCTTTTAAAAGTTGTTTTCAACCCTCAATTTTCACAAGTTACATTCTCCCGAGAAAGTTACAGGTGGCTTCCCCAACCCCACTCCCCTGCACTGGGGGGAGGGGTGTAGGGCGCACCTCAGGGCAGCTCCCTGTGGTACCTTGCTTTGCTTCATCACACAGCTAGATATGTGGCCAGCAGGGGCTTAGAACCACCTGTGGTGTCGGGGGGACCTGGACCTGCAGGTGTCCTTGGGACAGCTCACCTGGGACCCCTCAGTTGGGGCCGGTGGCTGAGAGCCAGCGTCTGCGCTTTCAGGGCAGGTCACCACCGGACAGAAACAACCTGCTCTCCCCTGAACTGTGGGACACGAAGAGACCCAGAGATGGCTGGCACACACTGCTGGGCCCTGGGGAACGCTGGCCTGGGCTCTGGTCAGTGTGGGCTGAGCCACAGGGGCAGCTGTGTGCAGGGACACACTTCTAGAGGTCCAGGTCCTGAGGGACGTTGGCCTGGGCTGTGGTCAGGGCGGGCAGGGACACCTGCTCCGGTGGTCAGATCATGCTGCCCAGCTCCGAGCCAGTCACTGGGCTGGGCTCAGGCAGGTCCCAGAGCCTGGTCAGCTTAACTCTTGGAAATGTTCATTCAGAGCTCATGGTGGGCAATTCAAACCCGGCTGCCACTCCCTGGGAGAAAGAAAAGGCTGCTGGCCCCAGTAGAGTCTCAGAAACCCTGGGGGCAGCTTGACCCTGTCCTACGGGGCCACCGACCCAGAATAGACTCAGTGGCAGAGGGGCCAGTGAGGTCTCTGGATGGGTGAGTTCTAGGCATGTCTGCCTGCTGGCCACCAAAGCAGGGAAGACCCCCTGGCAGGGGCATCTGTGGTCCCCCTCAGGGCACTGCTGGCCGTCTTGATGGCAACATCGAGCGGAAACCAGGACTCACTCCTGGGGGCCCTCGCGTCTCAGCAGAGCACCCTCCACAGCATCTTCAGTGGCTGGCGTTTCTTCTGAGGCACTTCTGATGGCCTCCAGTGGTCTGTGCACCCATTGCTGTTTCCCTCCAGGAGGGTGCCTTTGGGGCAGAGGCAGGTGGGCAGGTGTCTCCACAGGGAAACACCTAACTGCTAATTGCCAGCTTTGCTTGGCACCCTGGTCTCAGTGACCGACCGGCCTGGGGTGTCCCTGGCAGTGGGTGGGTCATTTATGTTTTCTGCAAACACGTCCCCTACCATACCACGGGGTAACAAGGGCTCCTTGTACAGAGAGTGCAGCTGCCAGGGTGCGATGAAGCCCAGGCCCAGTGCGTAGGAGCAGGTGGGGCAGCGAGGCCAGTGGGCCAGGACAGTGGGCCTGCTTCAAGAGCCTGGGCAGAGCTGGGGCCCTGTGTGCTCAGAAGGCTCTGCCTGTCCTGGTCGTGACGAGGCTGTCTGCCTAGAGCCGCCCTTCTCCTGGCATGTTGATGGCATCTCACCCTGCCATCCAGGGGTGACCTCTCACCCCTCACTGTGTGCCAAGCCAGGTGACAGCTCAGGAGCCTGGTACCCCAGGTCCTATCTCTCCCAAGGGTGCTGTGGGCCGCAGACACTTGAAGGTCCTAGCCCAGCTCTGGGTGCCCCTGCAGGAATGCCACCTTTCCTCTGGTGCTGTCATTGTGACTGCGTGGACCCACAGTGGGACACGCTTGTCCCTGCACCCCTGGCGGCTGGGTACAGGCCCTGAGACCCGTGGGGAGCAGCTCTCTAGGCCCTTCCTCCTCACAAGCCCCTCTCAACCTGAATGCTCTGCTGAAACCATTGAGCATGACCATAGGGTGCCAAGGCCCAACCCCCCCCACCCCCCGAGAGACAGACAGACAAATGGAAGGTGATGGCTGCATACGATACCAGGTGCTTGCCCCTATGGGGGGCCATGTCCCTGGCCAAGCCACCACAGCCTCCCCGTAGAGATGTCCCATCTCTGTGGGCTGTGGACTTCAAATTGCCCCTCACTGGGCCTCGATCTCGGCAACAGGCCTGCTTGGATGGAGGGCTGCTTGGTTCGCGGAGCCTGGAGACGGGGTTCCCGTCAAGGCATCTGGCTGCTCTCACACGGCCTTCCTCTTGCCTGTCTCGTTTCAGGCTGGGAGTCCCAGCTCCTGGAGACAGGGTTCCTGGGGATCTTCCTGTGTCCACTGTGGACGCTGTCCCGCTTGCCCCGCCACACGCCCGTGTCCCGCATCGTCATCTGGGGGTTCCAGTGGCTCATCTTCAGAATCATGCTTGGAGCAGTAAGTACGGCTTTTATTGGTCTTAAGTCTCAGAAGGACCTGGGGTCCTCCTTTCAGGGGTTCAGAAGGGTCCCTGTCACTCCTGGCATTCTCTTCCTGCTTTTTCTGCTCTCTCTCTCTCTCTCTCTCTGATGCAGGGTGTCTGGTCCCTAGCATTTCCTCTGTCACTTCCGTTACCCGTGAGCCCTTCCAGGAGAACGTGGAGCGGAGTTATCTCATGGTTGCTAGGTAACATCGAGTTGGTTCCATGTCCTACCGACCCGTGTACAGCAGAAGGAACCACAACCGGCCCTGTGTCAGCCCGTCTCAGGGAGGGCCTCCCTCTCTGCCTAGCTTGATGGCCTTCTCTGGGAACTGGCCCCTCCCACGGCTGTATCCACAGTATGTGAGACGGAGTCGCACCCTGTTAAGCAGATGTTTCAGATTCTCAGTCTGATGGCTCCAGGAGCTCCCTGCCACGTCCAAATCTGCTGCTGCGCCTTCTCTGAGGACTGGGTTGTTTGTTTCCTCGCGGTGTGGTTTGTGTGGTTGTTACATCGTTGGTGTCACCTTGGAGATATTAAGAACGAAGGGGTGGAGCCCAGCCTGGCATGGCCTTCTCATGAGGATTCTGGGAACTTCCTCTCTTCCTCCCTGGAGGCCAAGTGCACGTTTTCTGCTTCACATTCCTGCTGACAAGCCACATGGAGCCAGGCTGATGGCAGCCAGAGCCCTGGAGATGCTTCCACTGCCATTGGATCCACAAGACTTTCTACCCACCGGCCTATGATCTTCCTCATTCGCCATCATTGCAAGGGGCTATGTGAGTCTGAGGAGGAATTTATAAATTAATATCAGCCATATGGGCTAATATCGGACTTATGGACTTGTTCTAGGCTGGGATGTTCTCAATATACAATTGCTCTTTGACATAAAACTCTCTCTTACACATATGTGAGCGTCCCTGGATTTGTTTCTCTAGTCAACCCGGACTAACATAGTTTGTCTTGGTTTGGTTTGGTTTGTCTTGGCTTGGTTTGGTTTGGTTTGGTTTATCTTGGTTTGGTTTGTGATTTATTTGTGTGTGTGGCTTCTTCACATGCCTGGTGATTCTCTGGTTGAAGGTCCAACATGATCTCTCAGGTGAAAGGAGCTTGGGCTCTTGGTGTTGTTGGATCGCCCTGATTACATAACGGTGTTGTTGATGGTGATAAGGGGTGTGGAGTGTGAGGGTGTTTCTATGATCCTGTAGTTGAAGCTCAGCCTTGTAATGAACCTAAAACCTCCATAGGTGCCTCTTGGCTCCCCACTGCCCCCAGTTCCTAAGTGAAACGTGGAGGGCAGCGTGAGCTGGAGGTGTCTTCTTTGCCCATGTTGAGGGCTGTGGGTCTGGGGTCTGGTATTCACCAGTGAAAAGTCAGCAGAAGCTGCTTCCTCCCCTGTGGGCTCATTTCTTGTCTGTGGGGTCTCCTGCTAGGGCCTCCGCAGAACCACCTTGTGCTGCCGACAGGAGTGGGGGAGCAACCACTGTGAAACTGCGTGCTGTTCTCCAGAGCAGTGGGCTGCCCTCAAGGGAAACATTTGACCATAGCCAGGCCGACACGGGTTCTGTCCGGTCCTGAGTGACATGAAAGAAGGGAAATGCCCAGGGGCAAGTTACCCAACCTGGTGGGACCTGCCACGTGACCCCACAGATGGGAGGTGACCCCACAGATGTGGGGGCTCTCCCAGACGTGAGTCTGTGCCCACAGGTTCTAGGGAGTGAGACAGACATGCTCCAGCCTGGGGCCAGCAGGTCTGAGTGTGGCCCCAGC